CATACAACACTTGGTATTCTCAAGTGGTAACCCATCTAACTACTGACCAGGCTCTGTGTTGCATTAACTTCAGTGATCGTACTGGAACTGGTGCTTTAACATGATATGGCCATAAGCAATCAAAGACAACCAATTACTTTGATTCAAATTAATTTAAAGAAGTGAATGAATTTTAAATTGAATGACTTTTAAGAACTGAATGAATTATAATTTGAATGAATTTTAAGAACTCATTAAAGTATAATTAAAATGGATATTAAGAAGTGAATAAATTTAAAGAATTGAATGAACGATAATTTGAATTAGTTTTAGAACTGAATGAATTATTATTTGAATTAAGTTTAAGAACTGAATAAATTATAACTTGAATGAAGTTTAAGAACTGAATAAATTATAATTTGAAAGAATTTTCAAAAACTGAATGAATTATAATTTGAATGAATTTTAAAAACTGAATGAATTATAATTTGAATGAATTTTAAAAACTGAATGAATTATAATTTGAATGAAGTTTTAGAGTGGAATGAATTATTCTTTGAATGAAGTTTTAGAACTGAATTAATTATAATTTGAATAAATTTTAAGAATTGAATGAATTATAATTTCAATGAAGTTTTAAAAATGGTTGAATTATCATTTGAAGGAAAGTTTTAGAATTAGTTGAATTATAATTTGAATGAAGATTTAGAATCTGTATAAAATCAGTTTTGCAGTTTTAAATGATCATTTCCTCAAAACTGAAATATTTCTAGAAAGTTTGTACAAAAGTAGATAAACAAAAATGACATAGAATGTAATAAAAGTGGGTGGGGAAGATAGGTCTGAATTGTTATATTTTAAGTTATAGGAGAGTGTGTACAGTTATTACAGACCCAAGAGTACTTTGTTCAAGAAACAATACATATTTTTCTCTTTTCTGAGTTCGTAATATTGAACTATTTCGAAAGTAGTTATATTTTACAAGGAAGAATATAATTGCAACAACAGTAGCTCAACAAGAAGGTGAATTTTCAATTCCACGTTCTAAGAAATCTGTTTGTCTTTTGAAAGTTTTTGAGGAAAGACAGTTTTCAACTTTGCTTCTATCATAGCGACATGCTACTCTATTATTTTTGTTTCAGCAAACAGACACTTTCAATTTAACCTAGAACAGTTTGTTTGAGTTTATTAATTCTGTACATAATTTCAGAGACATTTTATGCTGGTTATCCAAAACCAATAGTATTTCTTTCCAGTTCATAGTTTTATTATAACCAATTATATTATACTTTATAATCTAGAGTTATTTTTACAACATTCATTTATAACTGAAAGTAGTGTCAAAATCCTGTGCTGTTCTAACACTCCTATGCCATAAAACCAACAATGATGACCAGCAGTCAGTGGCGACCAGTATTCACTAGTGATCACCAGTGACCTGCAATCATCAGCGACAACCAGCAACCTACAATCACCAGTGACCACCAATGATTCCTAATGACAAGCACTTCTCAGCAACAACCAGTGACCACCAATGACCTGCGATCACCAGCACCCAGTGATTATCAGCGAGCAACTGACTCTTACCAACCGCATTATCTACCAATCCACTCAGCAATGTTTCACTCCCTGCTGCTCATCATCTCACGGATCATCATGGTTTCAACTGCCTACCCTCAGCTAAAACTGCCTGCTAGTACCAGCTCAACACACTGTCTATCAACCTTCACTGACTGCCTATCATCCTTCAACACCTCCCAAGCAGTTTCATCTCCATCTTCTGGTTACCAACAACTGTCTGCCCTGGGCTACAACAGCCAGCTAGTACCAACTCAATACACCAACTGTCTATAAAGATTTGGCACCACTCAAGCTGCTCCAGTCATAATCAACTGTTGATGCATCTAAGACCAACAGTTAACTACCAGAACAACCACCCAGGGTATTTGAAACATCTGGATTCTTCCATTGTATTTTCCCTTTTTCTACCAATAATAAATTTTGGCATATTTTATTTAAACTTCTTCTCATTATCCTTGTCTTGGCCTGTGTCATTTTTTTCAATGTTAGATGAACCCCACAAACATTAAGATTGAAGAAGTGTTTGCGGGATTCATCTAATATCAACATTCAGACTCTGCAACATTTCTGAATGTTCTACCGCTTATGAAATATTCATATTAAATGAATGTCTGCAAGTACTTAATCTGGTGATTAATGACAGATATGGAAGAACTTCCCATCTTAATGGTGTTATTTTCTCTTGCATTTATTTTGCAAAGTATGCATTATCATACAAAGGTGTTATTCTTCAGAATAACACCTTTGCAGTTTAACAAACATGACATTTTTTAAATAAAGCTTCATTTACACAACCAAATATCTGCAGTGATTTGCAAGATGACTCATCACTGCTGATTCAACACCAGCTAACTCATCTCCATGACAACTCATCTCCATGACAACTCACCACCTGTCTACTCAGCATCATGAGGACAACTAAATGACATGCAAGCTATGAAATTTTTTTGTTGACTTTTTAAAATCAAATAAAAATAATTTATTAAGGATTATTTTTTAATACATGACTTTATTTTTAATCTAAAAAATTATTGAAAACTGTATGTAATTCCCCTCAAATATTCAGTTGCATATTATGAAAAAATATAAACAATCTGCAAAATTTTTCCATCTGCCTTCATATACTTTTTCAAATTAGGGGGAAGTGGATGACCTCCAATTATTTGCTTGAAAAATGCATCTCAGTTTCTTTGCATCTTTGGCAGCCCCATAAGGAATCTCCATATTGTGAGGTACGTCATCCCCAGCTCTGTGTGCAGTTTTCTATTTTTTCTTCAACATGGTTATTTGTCCAATCTTGAAAATTAAACACCAGTCAGTCAAATAGGCTGATGTAACTAATAAATCACTAGCCAAACTTTCAAAATCTCTACAACTCAAAGCCAATCTAAGAGATGTTCACAGTATGACTGCCAACAGTAGTCTGAAGCTATGAATTCAATGCCGCATTGAGTTGTCTTCATGCTGAGTAAGTTGGTGGTGAGTCATCCTGGAGTTGAATTGTCACAAACATGAGTTGGCCGATGTTGAGTTGGCACTGATGAAATGTCCCATCCTGATGCATTGATGGTTCTTCTATGTTCCACCAGATACAAAGCAAGAATTTCTGTGGATGGAGTCCTGGATTTGGTGTTTCTATTAGGTTCTTATTTTGTGATAACTACTGTTTTCTGTTGACATGCAAAACTCATTTTTCACCACCTGTAACAATTCAATGCAAGAAGTGAAAGTTTGACATTCCTGGTCAAAAGACTGCTACATATGGCAGAACTTGTGTTCAGTTCTCAAATGAAAGCACATGAAGAATACAAATTCCTTCTTTACAGGTTTTAACAATTAAACTCTGAAATTCACTATAAATGACACACTGTCAGATGGAAGGGACAATAAACTCATTCTAGATAGTCACCTACCATTTAAACTTCAATTTGATTGATTCATAATTCACAATAGTGAAATTCATATTACTTTTCAAATATACTAATATATTTTTTCACATATTTTCTCTAGGATATCAAACATCACTTGTTTACAAATTGTAATGGTAATATTAACCATTTCCTAATAAGAAAACATTTGACATTCATTGACCAAGAATCTAGTGATGCTTTGATTGAAATTTATAATATCAAAGCAAGGACCATTGTTTCCATGGTCCATCTACCTATTAAACCAATTTTTCAAGAAAATAGGTTTCTTGGATCCACTGTTATTGCTCTTTCCAGAATTGAGCTTCCTACCCAACCTTTCATTTAAAGTTGTGTGGAACATCAACATCTTGATTATGTCATTGTTTTCAAAGTCCTGGGTATGACAATAAACTACATCCAGCAGTAAGGTCTCTGATCTGGAGATTTTGAGAAACATAGAACCACATCTTAATTGCAGTTTTTTCCAGACTCACCCTCACCTGGGGTGGTATGACCTGTGAGGGTCCCCAGCTATGAGCAAATAGTGAACCCCCAAACAAAAAAGTATGAAAGTATAAAAATACCAATAATAGATTTTTATATAAAAAAAATACCAACAATACATATTTATAGCAAAATAAACAGCAATATATTTCATCTATAGTTGAAGGTATATAATTGCATTCAAATATTCAGATGTCAGCATTAAATAATCCATAGAGGTGCTAAACAAAATCAACCAACAAAACAATCAGCATAAAAGAACTCTTTCATGACATTCATTCAGATAATATCCTACAATTTCTTAAAGAAATCAAAACTGTATTCCAAAATATAACTTCAACAAAAATACAATATAAAACACATATATGACTACCTCTAGTAATTATGTTCTTCATATAATTTCAACAAAAATACAATATAAAACACATATGTCACTGCCTCTAGTAATAATGTTCTTCATATAACTTCAACAAAAATACAACATAAAACACATATATCACCGCCTCTAGTAATTATGTTCACACAAACATGTATATGCACAAAAGCTGAGTTTCATCTACCATGTATTCAATTGTGAAAGCAGAATAACATATCATATTTTCATTACTTCCAAGCTCCCAAGAAAACTAAACTTTGGCATTAAATGAGCCAAAAGGAGTTGATATGCTGTTCAGTAAACAAATCAATCTTTATTTTCACTTTGAATCAGGTATGTTATCAAATGTAGTTGCTGCTGTTGTTGAAAGTCCTCAAGTGCTTTGTTTGTGATTCTGTAGCACCTGTCTACAAGGTTTGAAGAAAGATGGTCCTCACTAAAATCTACAGGCTTCATTCACTCAAAGCCATTTTCAGTCATTGATCTGAGAAAGTGGTTGTATACAGCTGAGAAATTCATAATTCAGTGAAATCCCTCTTACCTGTTCGACAACTGGGGCTGTCTTTGTAGTTCTGAGAGACCCCAATCAGAATCAGAGCAGACCTCTCCACTGCAAGTGCCATTGCTTCCAGGGTTGATCCACCTAACAACCAAATATAAACTGATTAGATACACGCTAACAAAGACTGCCTTGATAAAAGGAAACTACCAGAGTTCAAAGATACTTAATATAAAATAAATGACATAAGTTAATAGAATCATGCA